GTACATATGGTGGTTGGACTATTAGGCAATTAACTTCATGTACTGTACTTGCCTAAGTAAGTGCCTGGGTGTTTTTTTTTTCGCTTTTTGAGGGACGATTATTCGAAAGGGCGTATATGAATACAGAATAGAATGGAAATCATGGAAATACCATAATATTTCTAATCACAGCCCATTAGTTTAGTAAACTGTAAACAAAATGAAATTCAAATCAATGTTTTTTTTTTTTGCTGAAACATGATTTTTTTCCCCTTAAAATAGGTATTCTTAAACTAAATTTTACAGTACATAACCCCCAAAGATGTTTGGCAGACGACACATACCGTATAGGGTTTTTAATTTATTTTCGCGGGCGCAAAAAATTACTGTCGGGTCGCTGCCCATGAAACAAGGCTCTAGACGTAATTCAATTTATTGGATCCACTTTGTATACAGTGCCCAAGGTAATAATAATATGTATCAAGCAGAAAGAAATAAATATACATAAAATATAAATTAGTGTAAAAAAAAAAAAAAAAAAAAAAAAACACTGAATAATGGGAGTTTCTGTAAATCAGTGGTAGATCCAGGGGGTTTAAGGGGTTTGGACAAACTCCCCCCCCCCCCCATGAAAAAACTTAACAAAATACTACAGGGTCCTGGCTGAAAAAGGCATACTATAAATCTAAATAGGCATCCATATGTTGGCAGATCTGACAAACTAGGCTGAGCCCATGGCTAGTCTTCAATTAAATAAAATTAATAACATTGTTTTTGCTTTGAACACGTAATAATTAATGTACAAAATGCGTTCTTCAGGCCTATCAGTTTATCGATCCATGAAAGAAAGACTATGTATCCAACTACTCAATATTGTTGGAATATAATATATTGTCTACGTCTTTGCTTTTTTGGCTTTTTTTCTCTATAGTATAGTCCTAAGAATGAGACAAAATCACCTGACTTTTTCTTAAGAGGGGGGAAACCTTGAATTTTGAAAAAATAAAAAGTCATTAAAAGAGACCTCAGAAGTCTCTTTTTGGTTCGATGTCGTACAAAAATGAGTTATTCATGCCTATCGGTTCATCGATTAATGGAAAAAAGAATATGTAGGCCTATCCAACTATTATATTGGAATATAATGGCTTTTGATTTTTTTTTCTCAAATAGGCCTAGAAGAACTTTAAAAGACACCTCAGAAGTCGGGAAAGCTCATTTCCGTCCATCTAGGAATCAAAATTTTCCTTGGGGAGGACTCCCCAACCCCCTTTCTTTTGGGGGGGGGGGTTGTTTTGGAAAACATTTTAAACCCCCCTTCCTTCAAATCCTGGATTCGCCCCTTTAATTGCTAGTATGCTTACGGTTGCACTTACATTTATTGTGTTTTTTCCCCAGAAATTGCTTTGAAAGTTGGCTGTTTTATACTGATGATTATGACAATTATGTTACCGATAAATTATGTATACCAGGAAATGTTTGTATTTACAACAAGTTCTATACTTTTTGGGATCACTGTCTTGGCTGCTGCAATTCTATTATATCCTACGAAGATGACAGTGATTAATGTGGCTTCGTTCTTATTGCAAATAACTACAGTCATATCTGCTTCTCATATTTTCATACTATTTCCAGCCCAACAGTTAATCCTACCTATTTTATTTCTATGTATTGGTTTATTTGGTGGGGAGAGTGGGCCGTCTGCAACAGTAAAAACAGGTTATATTAGTTATGTTTCAATTCTCAATGCCTTATATTTTTTTTTTAATTTGAAATTAACAGTTCAATATTTCTTGCAAGCATATTATTATATCATCTTCAATATCAATATTATGTTTATTGTATTGTTGCTAATATTATGTTTTTTGATTTATGGAATCATCAACTATAAGATATTAATACATTTTTTTTTGTATTTTTCAAAAAGATCAGTAAAATATATTTGTTCTATTACTATTATCGCTTTATATTATTTGGTTCCACAACATCATTTAGGATACATTCAAAACCTCTTTTGGGAGTTAATTCCCAATTATTTTCATTAATATGCTTACATGTATCCTACTGTGTCAATAATTTTCATTATGCGAGTATTTAAAGAATTAGCTGTTTTATACGATTAAAATGCCAAATACATTACTTTCTACTATTTTGTAAATTTTGTTTGATTATATACTAGTACTACTGGTCATTGGTACAAATAGCCATCTTTTCCCAGACACTTGGCAGACATTGACTTGAGGTTTGTCATTAGTAGGATACTGCTTTCAAAACTATAAAATATGAAGCTAATCAACAGCAACATCATCATTATCATAGAGGAGAGCAATATAAGGTAGTAACTACAGTAATATAAAGTTAGATTAAAATCAGTTCAGTTAAAATCGAGGTGGCTATTAATTGGCCTAGCCTTCTGCTGCTATTTCCTATAAGTATACACAAAACCTGACTATAATATACCTGTATATTGTAAAGTACTATATTTATGTTAAACTAGATGAGGGAGTTTTACGGACTCCTTTAGGACTGCTTATACTTGCAACAATAACAATAACCATAAAAAGCTAAAAAGCAATTGTTCATATAGAAAATAAAAGAAATGGGAGAAGTTTTTATAAACTAGTACGATTCTGATAATGATTATCGTGTATAGGATAACAGGGTCGTAGCTAATGAAAACTAAGAGTGGGGATAGATATTTTGAGGGTGGATGCGTGCAATAACATTGGTAAACTCTAGATAATAGAAGTGAATTTTAAGGATGGAAAAATGGATTAATAAGGGTGGGTGGAAGGCCAAGAAATTAGCTTTAAACTGGGTGGAAAACTTCAAGGCAGGGTGGCCCCGCCCACTACAACTACATCCCTGGGATAACAAAATATTTGGACAAAATCAAATCAGATGACGTCGTAATCATGAAAAAAATCGTTGCTACTACCATGGAGGTATTATTGAGAAGATCACTCGGCAACAGTTCCCTTTGACGCGGAAAACCAATGTGTTCCCACGCGGGCGTATTACCTTGTAATTAACATTTTTTCGTTAGCAACAGCTTGGCAACGACATGCTTTTATATGCTTCAACACAGCAGTTGTGGGATAAACCATTTGATTTTAACTTATGAAATATCTTTAAAATTAACAATGTTCCCCTGATTGGATTTTTTCGGACT